TGCGGGCAGCGCGCCGGCGGGCGGCGGGGGTTTGGCCGGCACCTGCCCGCTTGCCCCAGGCCGAGGCCTCCGCGGGGCCGAGGGCTTCGGTGGAAGACGAGGGCGACCGCAGCGTGGAAAATAAAAGTTTGAGCGCTCGCTGCCAGCGGGCAGCGTGACGAAACACGGGCAGCAAGTGCGTTTCTTCTGACATCTGGGCTTTTACAAAGAACGGCATCGCAGGAAAAGTATGGGCTGCCCGAGCTGGTGAAATTCAGCCGTTTGGTGTGACTCGGGGAAGAAGGGGGACACGGGTGGCTGGAGGTGAAAAGCTGGTGTGGGGGGCGGCAAATGGCGGCGCCTGAGGTTGGGGTGGGGGGTCCCCTGGAGGCCTCCGCCCGCCCCAGCCGCCTGGTACCAAATTTATGAGACCCCCCCTGAGAGCTTCCCTCTTGTCGGCAGGGTTGCGGGGAAGTCATTTTGTGGGACACCCGGCTGCGAGGGAAATATGACATCATAGAACAGGCTGGAGTGGCAAACGCTGCTGTCGTCACAGGTCGCTCCTCGCAGGCAAGGCAAGAGCCTTGGCTGTCGATTTCCCCCAGCTCCCCCGTTCAGGCTTGCAGGGATCTGGAGGCCCAACTCACAAACTGAAATTTTTAGGACCAGTGTGCCGAGACCAAAGTCCCAGCAGGTAGAAGACGGGGAAGCTCAGTGCTGGGCATTTCCAAGATTCGGGCAGCCGGGCCACAATGGATTACTGGAAATGCTACGTCAATAGCATCCTGGCGGACAGGAACATTGAAGATGTGGCTGTCGTGGGCCTCTCTGACAATAAGTGCGTGTGGGCGGCCAAGCCAGGCGGGCTCCTTGCAGCCATCTCGCCTCAAGAAGTGGGCTTGATCACAGGCCAGGATCGGAAAACATTCCTGCTAACAGGAATCACCATAGCTGGCAAAAAGTGCAGTGTGATTCGTGACAGCCTGCTGGTGGATGAAGACAACGTGATGGATGTCAGAAGCAAAGGCAGTGACAGCAGATCCATTTGTATTGGCAAGACCCCCAAAGCCCTGATCTTCCTTGTGGGCAAGAAGGGAGTCCACGGAGGAGCCCTCAACCAAAAGGTCCACGATATGATTGTGGGCATGAAAGCATGAAGCAAATAGTGCCAGACGTCTTCTGCCTGAGCACAGGGGCACACTCGTTGCTGTAGCAGAGAAGGGAAATAAACCTGATTTTGTTGCAGGTGTCTTTGCCTGCTTCTTTCAGGTGGGGGGGTGCTGGGCAGGCAGCAGTGCTGGGACACTTAACAGTCTGCCTGACCAGCTGTGGTGCAGAAGGGAGTAACATGTACATTCCTCATCAGAATGCTCGGTATTACTTGAGTGGTCTCCCAGCTATCTTGGGTAGTTGCTCCCTGTTATTCTCATTTTGCTGACTGATATTGGGGTGAAGATCTCTGATAACATTAGCTTTGAGAAAAGGCAGGAGGGAGGGCAATGCCTTTGCCCTCTCGTTTGTCACTTTGCTGTTTAAATCATGCCCTAATGCCAGTCATGGTTTTTGAGACCTACCTTCTACAAGTAGGCCACAACACTAAGGATAAGCAGGACTTGTGTTTATTTTGAATTTGCCCCTGGAACAAGCCCAGTTCATTCTGGAGATTAACTATTGATCAGCAGAGCCTTGTGCTGCTGTTGGACTGCGTGGGAGGCACGTGCCAAGATAGTCTGCCACCTGCTCACCTTCCATATCATTTGAAACCTCTTCTTAACTGAGCAAATTGGGTTTTTTACAAGGTAAGTTACCTGTCTTGTATCCGTGGCATGGGGATCTTCTGAAGTTTGCTTCCTTTCCATCCTGCTCAGTCACACTCTCTGCCCTCAAAGTCACAGGTCCCTGTAAGCCCCTGTAGGAGAATGTGAAGTTGTGCCCAACACTGCAGATTTCCTCCTCCATTCATTTACCACAGTACAGCCCTCTCCTTCTGCTCCTGCTTGTAACCCGAAATGGCCAGTCTGAAATGAGGCAGAACTGGTGCGCTTGAGATGGGACCGACGCAGGGAAGGCTCGAGGGGTATCTCCGGCAGGGCTGATCTCCTCATGTGTGGGCTTTCCTTGCTCCATTGCTCCTGGCAGCCGTGGCAGCTGCCTGGCAGTGAGCCTGAATCCACGTCACGCTGTCCCACTGCAGCACAGACGGGCTGCGGCCACTCACCACGGTGAGACACCCCCTGTTCCATACCCCTGGGACCCCCCCACATTGTGCCAGGTAAATCATAGGTGCTAAACTGCTTGGTCTGGTTTGACCAGACCTCCCCCACCACCTTCAAATCGTTGACCCACTGAGTCAAAAATAATTACTCGTGATGACTTTTACGACTCTGCCACAGACACGAGAGGAGAGCCAGCCCTGCTGAGCAGACTGAGAGCCCTTGCGCGCTCTTTGATAACCATTAATCTTCTCATTTTACATGGAGTCAATATTTTGTAATTTCATTGAATTCACACAGAGATCTTTGATCTGCAGCTGCACCCACAGGAGCAGAAAAACACTATAAGGGGAACCAGGCATCTAATGTATTAGCAAAAGTTCAACAAAACTGCAATGACTGTCTAATTAGTAAGCGCTGTCTGATAAGCAGTGCTTACAAGCATGAATCAAAACAAATTAACATAAGTACTAAAGGGATAAAAACAAAAATACAACCTGGTTTTAGAATCTAACAATAAAAGCAACGCATCAAATGCAGTAAATGAAAAAAATATATTAATATTTATGCTGGCCACAAGTTTTTAAAAAAACACAGGCATTCCTGACAAACGTGGATGCTTATTTTCACAAGCTTAAGGCAAAAATGAGTAACTATCTCCTGTGATTTCTTGAGCACTGTATACAGTAGTATTCTCTGCTGTGCAAATCATAAAACGCAGAAAGCTTTTGTCCTCTGAACTTCAGTCTACGAGGCATCAAAATGACAGGATTTGGAATAAGAGGAAAAAATTTGGGGTGATTTACTTCTTGCTCCCTTCTTCTGGGTGCCAGAGAAAACAGGTCTGGAGTGTATATATACTTCCCTAGCATGAGAATTTGGAGAAGTATGAACCTATACAGCATGATGGTGGTGTGAACAGCTACAGCTCCTCCCTAGTTACACATGATGGGCAGCACCATGGTGTACAAAACCAGATTCTTTCAGTTTGAAGGACTTGTTAACTATAAATTCAGAAATAACTCACCTTTGCTAATGATTGCATATTAATTTAGAGAAAAAATAATTCTAAATCCAAGAAGGACCTTAAACTTTCATTCCCTAAATCCACTGGCCTGGAGCCTAAGGAGATTTTGTTCAGACCAGCCCCGAAAAGCAGCTGTTACACTCAGCCCTGACTCTTCTTGGAGACTATGGTGTGAAGGAGCTTGAAGAAGAATAACAGAAGGCAGCAGCATCTGTATAATCTCTCCTCTCCTGCTGTGATACAAGGAATGTAAAATTAGAAATAGCTGCAGAGAGCATGGCTGTGGTTTAACGTTTCAGTCTAAGACTGCAGCCTTTGAGAAAAGCCCTCTTCACCCATACACCTGGCACCTCTCAAAAAGCCTCCAGTAAATAGCTTCACCAGCAGGTTTGTTTAATCCTCCATCCCCAGCACACCTGTGCTTACCTGGGAGCCACCAACTCCTGCTGTAAAGCAATATGCATAAGAGCCATTCACACAAAATGTAGGTACTGCTTTTGTTACAATCCAAACACAGCCTCTTGTGTGACAGAATTGTGTTTGCTGTAGCCAGAGCGGGCACAGTAAACCTGCACTTAAAAGGAAATGCTCGTGTTTTCAATTGCCTACAACTTCATCAAACTTCAGGACAGTTGTACTGAATTTCTCCACACCAGGTTCTTGCCTTGGGCTCCTTAGAATGTGTCTGATCAGGTAAAGGATTCGGAGTGTCAATCCCACAGCAAACTGGGGCTGGGCTCTCTTGGTCATGAAAGTGGGTGATGCTGGCGTATCTTGAAAAAGCACGGTGTCAGCTCAGAAGCATCCACGTGACAAATGCGCAGGTGGAACAAATTTTATGGAAAAAGTAATGACATAGCTGCTTTCAGATGCAGTGGGCAATTGGAGATAATTCTTCTAGAGGCAGACCTAGACTCTCTTGTAGCAGGGGCTCCATCAGAGGTCTAAGATGAATGACAAGGAAAGAGTTGAAGAATTTTACATGTTTCCACTAAAAAAAGACAAGTGACTGGGGATCTTGTAGGTCTTCAATAGGATGTGCACAGTGCTGTACTTTGGAAAGGCATAAAATACCACACTGAGGGGGAGATTTGGATGGACATTACAAAAAAAATCCCGGTGACAAAGACAGCAAAATGCTGGCCTAGATTAGGTGACAGGGTGTTAGGATGGATCTAAATGTAGGCTGGGCTTGTCTTAGTGAAGGAATAGGGTTAAATGCCCATACCAGGGATATAACAGTTATTTTTCCAGTGACTCTGTAATTCAGCAAAAGGCAGAGATGAGGGGATGACATAGCCAAGTATGCAGCCATCCTATGCTGATTTCAACAAGATATGATAAAAATTATATTACACCCACACACCCACAAAAATTATATCCTTCTTCCAAACTTAGAACAAACAATAAATTCCAAAGATTCCTTCATAGAGAGGAGGGGAGGATAAAAGCATTGCCGTTTCCTCTTAAAATCTTCAAGGAAACCGGAGTTCAGTGAGTCATGCACTAGAAATGAGCTCAGTGAAATTAACGTATGGAAAAATCTCAGGCGAATAATTGGCGATGATAGAATTAAAAATAGAGTCATTAATGATAGATGCCTTTTAATGGAGCCAGAGCAATGAGATAAAGGGATCTTTTTTTGTGAGGCTTTTCCTACACAGAGAATCATAAATACATTAAAAGCTAGGCAGGTTGGTAGGCTCCTTCTGTCATATAGGAAGATGAAATGACTGTCCAGTCATATAGGAAGATGAATTGAAAATTGTCTTTTTCCTCCAGTCAAATGCTAAACTTCAGTCTCTCTAAATTCACCAGGACAATACAGAAATGGTTGTTCCAGGCAAATGTTCGGCCCGGTATTAACTAACACAGGCTAATGACATTACAAGTTCTCCCCATGTTCCGTAAATGCGATTATCCAGGTGAATATAATATCTGTCAGGCAGCTTTAGGAGTCTGAATAGTCAGGGTAGAGCTGCATGTCGTCTGGGAGAG